AGAGAGTGAATGAACGGAGAGCAGGTGACAATGATTGGGGAGTATGGAATGAATAAAGAGGGAGTGAGACAGAGAGGAAGGAAGGAAGTGAATGCAGAGGGACACAGAGTGTTTGGGAGAGTACACTCAGATCTAAAACTTGGGCATGGATGGTCATTTGTTCCACCCACAGGAAAAATATTAGAGGAAACACTGCTCCACCAGCCCTCTGGCAGGAGCCATGGAGACTCATGTCCTAGTTTCCAAACGGTCTGCAATGATCCAGCAATGGGTATGTGCACTCTTTCTTCTCTCTCCTATTCCCAGGGGTTATTCAGGGGCCTAGCATGCACAATCTACTTGTGTATGGCTATGCAGAGGTGGTGCAGCTGTCCAAAATAGAGGTAATCATTATGGGGGTGTAAATATATTTGGGCAAAATATATACTTATAGTGTTCCTGCAAAACTTGAAGTCCTCATATGCATCATGCCCTGAACAAAGAACAAGTCTCACTTGGTGCCAACACCCTCTGATTCATCTTTTCCATTAAGAAGCAAGTTCATTCTTCCTACAGCTAAATTTCATATGTTAGGATGACATGTTTACTGCCTATTCCCCAGCCATATTGAAATTGGTACATAAAGATTATATATTACTGCTGTATCCCACTTTGATAAATTAAAACAGTATCAAGGTAAACATTCAGAGGTTAGAAATGTATTTCTGTGCACCTATAAGCCATAAAATTCACTTGCTTCATTCCACCCAAATGTAACAAAAGCCACAAAATTTAACATCGGGCATCATTACTACTATCTGGCATGCTGAAAGAAACACTAATCTGGCATGTTGAAAGGTTCAGTTAAGTACTTTCCATCATTTAAATGGAGTATCTCCTGTACTTCCAAGTGTGGTGTACAGACTATGCCCACATGGCAGCTGGGAGGTGTAATTCCCAACACAGGTACACAGGCATATGCTAGATATGCTCAAGTTAGCCCTTAAAAATAGCAATGTGGCCATGAAGGCTCAAGCGAGTCCAGTGCCCATGCCACTGCAGCCACGGCTATTTTTTAGGTGGTAGCTCAAGCAGAGCTAACATGCGTGTATGTCTAACCACAATGGGAATTACATTTCCCAGTTGTTGTGTAGAAAGACCCACAACGGCTTTAAATTAGCAAAAGGAATTACGGTACTAATATTCAGGGCCACTGCCCCAAGTGGTATATTGGATTCAAGTTATGCAGCACTGCAGTAGAATCGGTACAATATCTATTTATTTTCATATTATATTTAATTTCAATTTAATCTCCCTAACATTTTCAATATTCTGCAAAATTTTCCTTAAATACATAGCCACACTGTTAATGGTGATCGCTCTGACAGGGCATTTGGGGTGCCAAAAGCCTCAAGGAGGTGTGGCAAGTCATTTTGATTTTTGGTGAACAGGAGCCTGTTGAAGCTCTTTGGCTTTCTTGGGAAGGGATGTATTTCATCCTTCACTTCACCTTTGTGGGCAGAGGTGAGGTAACGTAACAATTTTGGAGGAGATAGAGGACTTCTTAATTCTTCACCCAAGCGAGACTTGATGACAACCTGCAATATCACATACACACACTAATTTCTGGCACTACAAACCGTAACGGCGTATTTCAGTTTAATGATTCTGCTAAAATGATTGGAAGCAAAATAACTAACAATATTGACATTTAAATTATCCTTATTAGAATTCAGACTGAACACCACACTAACACTCATAGGAGACACTTTCAGAGATATTATTTAAAGCTGCTGGTAGAGTTAGGCAGACATCACTGCATCAGTTGATACTGAAGATTATACTTGAAACCAAAAAGGCGAGAAGGAGGTAGAGTGTGTGTGTAAAATGAAAGCTTAGTTTCTGCAGCAGAAGTCTAGCCAAATCTGCAACAGTTTCTCTCCCTCCCGCCCCCCATCAGTGTTTTTCAGTAAGTGAAAGTCAAATTCACCTCCTCTGCTTTTCTACAAAAACCCCATAAACCATGAAAAACATTTGGTTTTAGTCAATAAAATACTTTCTGCGGAGCAGGTTTTCACCAAAAGTATTTTTGTATTTTCCACACCTCGTTAAGTCTTACAGTAAATGCACCTGTAGAACCAGACCATCGGAAGCAGTGTTATAAGTGTAGCAAAACCAATGACTGTAACCAGAGGACCATCTAGTGGTGGTTCGGCCACATCTCATGCCCTGCCCATTGTGCTGTAGCTATTTAAGGGAAATATAAATATACACTGCTGTTCCTTAAAAATAAATCATAAATTTGTAGAGGGGCAACTCTGGCAGCTTCTTGAGTGCTCAGAGTTCCTAAAGCTTGATTATTTGGGCGACAGGCCTGGGTATGAGACAAACTACAGTGGTTGCATTAATTGATTCACTGCTCCTAGCAATGAATGAAGACAAAATGTGTCCAAGCAGACTGAGATTAGTCAGCAGCTTTTGATACCAATCCTAAAGTTCTGTTAACTCACTAGTGGATCCTGGTAGGAATGGATAAAGTTGCTGTTGAATGACTCCATTCTTATACCCAGAGGACAGTCATAGGCAATATTTCCTCTATCCCAAGAGTTCTCTCCTACAGCATAACACAAGAGTCCCCGCCCCCGTTATCCCACCAATTCCACGTATATATCAGGCTGACAGTATCAGTAAAGAGACATTGGCTGTACTGTATTCAATATAACATACTTCTCCAACACATCTCACCGAGCCAGATCAACACAATAAATAATCCAATGTTACAGTGAGTTTGAGGCTTGGACAAAGGCTAGCTGACTGCAACTTAGTCCAGACAAGACAAAGATAAAGTTGGTAGGTTGGGGGAAGGAGCCAGAGAGTTAGTTGGTAAAGCTTTTATTGGTGCTCATGACTGAAAGAGTCAATGGCATTTGTAAAAGTATATAATCTAAGTTTATTATTAGAGATGGAGTTTTCTTGGAAGCCAAGCTAGTGGCAGTCACCTGGAGCACATTTTCCTCCAACCTGGCAAGATGAGTCATCCTTTACTCTCTGATGTGGACCTTATCCGTATCTTTGTGACTTTGAAACACTTTGCTCTAAAGTGTTCTTTGTGAAACACCACCTTGAGAACGAGCAGAAAGTGAAGTTCACACAAAATGTGGTGGACCACTTATTACAGAGTTTCACATTGGGAGCACATTATGCCAGTGCTCCACCATTTGTATTAGCTACCAATAGGAATACCAGATAATGATTTCAAACCATCTAGGGTTGTTAATTTGATACTGCCTTTTTCTTTGTGTCACTCTACCACAACTGCCATCAGTAGAGGAGCTTGAGTTCCCCACTAAAAGGGAGAAAATGGATGGCAGGGTCCTGCAGAAGGGGTCTTCCACTTTGGAACTTTGATCAAACAAGTTGGAGTGAGCTCAGATTTGTCAACTTTCTAGACATGCAAGAAAGTGCCTTTTTGGGGGGAGAGGCCCTCAAGGAGAGGGGATGGTGACTCCCAACAGGAGAGGACTGGGGAAGTTTGGGCTCATTTAACTTATATCTACTCATGAATATTTCTCTATCAGCCCTTAACAATGTATTGTTATTTGTGTTATGTGTTTTTATTTTATGGAATGGATGACTGGACATTGCATAGTCATCTAGAAAAATGTATGTACAAAACTTCAAGTTAGGAACCACAATTTGTTTAGTTTCAATTCTTTTTATTTTCATCCTATAATTCACAGTACCTTTCATTCAGGGGGAAATATGGGAGCCCTCTAGTGGTTAAACATATGCATATTTACATAAAGTCAGATTTTGATACCCCCTACTCAAAATGAGTAGCATGAACTTCACAAGTAGTTGAATTGACTTCTGCAAATAATGCTTCAGTAAGGCCCCCAAACCTGCAAACACTTACATATGTGCATAAATAAAGCATGTGCAAAAAGTGTTTCCAGGATAACGGGAGCAAAGCATTTAAAATTTGGCTGCAGAAGTTAACTGAAGACTGTAATATACTGAAGAAGACAAGACAACAAGAGGTCTGCTTAACATTTCAAAGGATAACATTACATAGACTTTCTTTTAAAAAAAGATTTAACAGGGCAGATGGAACAGAAGGTGGAAAAGCCAAAAACAAAAAACACATACACAGCAGTCCTGAAAGTAAAGAGGACTACTCTATTTTTATTGTCCAACCTTGGCAAAATGCATAACATGACTTAAATGTATTAAAACAAAAGAAATTTTCAATACCTGAATTATTACAAGGAAATGAAATTTGGGTTTTATTTGTTTTTTAATATAGTTTTAACGTAAGTGTCCTTATGAGCTAATATCCTTATTTCAACAGTTGATTTTTAATCAATCATTCTAGTATATTCTGTATTTAACTTTCTTATTTTAGGTTCATTGATATGTTAAAAACAAAAGCAAAACAAATGATACTTCCTAACTGTTCTCATCCAAACTATTAATCTAAAGATGGTAGCATCACAAAAACTCCCAAAAAGAAGCTTACTAGTATTTTCAGAAGAGGCCCAGGATTGAAAATAACTATTCTTGAGGCCCTACTTAATTTGCAATATTGCGCATCCCGCAATATTAGGTTTCCACCACAATTTTATCAGCTGCCTAGGCGGCTGGGTGTCCCACTGTCAGCCGGAGCCCCAGACATTAATGACCATAATATTGTTGCAGCAAAATGTCTGGCATAACATAATACCTGAGTGTTTATATTGTTCCAGGAAATTTTTCTTAAACAAATACGTCTTCTCTGGCTTTTCCAAATTACCGCAATTAATAAAGGTCCATTATTACTTTTGAGCTATTTTCCATGTCTTGTCTGCAACACAGCCACAATTATTTGACAATCATTCCGCAATTCAAGTAGGGCCTTAACTATTCTTTGATTCCTAGACATTCCCCTCTAAATGTAACATAGCCCCAAAGTGGGAAAGCTTTCATATGCCAAAAGCTCACATTGTTCTTGATCAATGTATAAACTTTAATCCACAGTCTAAAATTCACTTAGAATTAATTTACCTTTCACACCACCAAATGGTCCATAAGTCATGTTGCAGGCTGTTCGCTGAAGATTGTGTTCATACATAAGTTTGATATGATACTGGTTCCCATGTTCCACATTTCCCAAAGTTCCTATGAAAAAACAAGGAACAATATATATGTCTAATTTTTAACTCTTCTGGCTCACGTGAAGAAAAAACAGGAACTATTTAAGAACATTATATGGTGAGGCCTTATCTATTAGTTGTTTTGGGAGGCATGCGAAGGTTGACAATGACATATTTTTAGGAAAGTGGCAAACGTGTTTATTATTTGTACATCAGCAGTACGCAGAGGCCAAAAACAGGAATGGGGTTCCATTATGCTAAGCACTGTATAAACGAAGTAAGAGATAGTGCCTGCCCTGAAGATGACTCTGTGTTTGAGGAAAGGAATCCCACATCTTTCGACGGTATGTGGTTCAACTATTTGATCAGAAATCAATTTACTCACCCAAAGAAGGCAAAACAAAATGTTTTGCGTTATGATTCTGCAGTTCTAGGATCCAATAAACAAAGTATGCCTCACAATTTATTTCAGCCAAAACATCTTAATCTCCTTAAAAGAGACTCTAAATTAGGCAGGGGTAAAAGTAACTTTAAAGATTTACCGGTACGCCAGAGTCCTGAGTGGCCAAACCCGGAAGAGGCGTGGCCTCAATGGGAAGAGGCGGAGCCTTTCAAGATTTAAAGGCCCTGGGGCTGTGGCTGGGAGCCCCAGGGCCTTTAAATCACCCCGGAGCTCCCAGCTGCAGAGGCAGTTGGGAGCCCTGGGGTGAATTAAAGGGCCCGGGGCTCCAGCCATCGCAGAGCTCCAGGCCCTTTAAATCACCACGGGAA